TCGTCGTCGTCGACGACCTGCTGCTGCTCTATCGACATATTAAATATTATTATTGTATTTATATATTAAATTGATTTATATTTCAATTTATTTCTTTATTAATAGAGGGGGGCCCCTGCTGCTGCTTAGGGGGCCCCCCAAGTAGGTAATAAGGAAGCAGCAGCAGCAGCAGCAAGCAAAAAAAAAAGAAAAAAAGATCTTCTTATTAATAAATATTAATATAAATAATTATTATTAATTAGTAAAATAAACATTTATTATTTATTTTATTATTTATTATTAATAATAAATAATAAACAGCAGCAGCTGCTAGCAGCAGCAACACAATAATATTGCAGCTGCAGCAGCAGCAGCAACAGCAGCAGCAGCAGCATAGCTGCAACAGTAGCACCAACAGCAGCATCACAACGCCAGCAGCAGCAGCACAACCACAACAGCAGCAACAGCAGGAGAAGCAGCAGCAGCTGCTGCTGCAGCAAGAGCGTGTGCATAGATCTTCTTAACTGGTGCATACAGAGGGTCACTTGTGTATATAAGCCTGCTGCTGCTGCTGCTGCTGCTGTTGCTGTTGCTGTTGCTGCTGCTGCTGCTGCTGCTGCTGCTGTTGCTGTTGCTGTTGCTGTTGCTGCTGCTGCTATTTTATTATTATTAGTAAGGCCCGATGATGTCTCCTCCTCCATCAGCGAAGGCTGCTGCTGCACCTGCTGCTGCAGCACAAGCAGCAGGAGGTGCAAAGCAGAGGGGCCCCCGTGGGGCCCCATCAGGTATATCCCCTAAGAATAGGAAGCACGAAGGAGGGGAAGAAGAGCAGACACCAGGAGAATCAGCAGCAGCAGCAATAATAGATCTACTTATTGCTGCTGGTGCTGCTCTCCTTAATAAAAGAGCAGCAGATAGGCAGTGTCTCTCTTTTGCTGCTGCTGCAGCAACACATTGTCTCCTTAATCTTATACGTATCTCTCAAGTTACTATTGACCCAGGGGAGCCAACTACTGTACCCTATGCGGGGGGCCCCCAGGGGGCCCCCATAGGTGGGGGGGCCCCCATAGGTGGAGGCCCCCAAGGTGGGGGGCCCCCTGTAGTAACTGGATGGGAAACAGTAACAATGCCGTTACCCGGTACCCAAGATAGTTGGGCCCCTGGCTGCTGCGGCATAAAGACGCTAACAGAGGAGCAGCAGCAGCAGCTAGCAGCAGCAGATAAGGAGAGGGAAGCAGCAGCAGCAAGAAAGGGGGCCCTTATTCGTAAGAGAGGTATGGTTATGCTTGCTGCTGCTAAGACACAACCTATACAACGACCACCACCAGCAGCAGCAGCAGCAGCAGCAGCAGCAGCAGCAGCAGGTGGTGGTGGTGGTGCAGGAGGTGCAGCAACAGGAGGAGGAGGAGCAGCAGCTGCTGCTGCTAGGAGACGTGCTGCACCGCAAGGGCAAGAGAACAAACAGACAAAGGCAGCAGCAGCAGCAGCAGCAGCAGCAGAAGCAGCAACAGCAGCAGCAGCACCAACAGCAAGCAGCAGCAGCAAAGTAAATAGCAGCAAATAAGCAGCAACATAAATAATATATTTTATTTACTATTAGTAATAAGGCATAAAACAGCAACAGCTGCAGCAGCAGCAGCTGCTGTTGCTGCTGTTGCTGCTGCAGCTACTGCTGCTGCTGTTGCTGCTGCTGTTGCTGTTGCTGCTGCATGCATGCATACGCCTAGCATTGTTAATAAATTCTTTTTTTTTGTCATTTTATAAACAAATAAGAAATTTATTTATTTATTTATTTATTTATTTATTTATTTATTTATTTATTTATTTATATTTATTTATTTATTTATTTATTTATTTATTAATAAAATAATAAACAAAAAAAGATAAATGTACTTGGTGTCCTTCTATAAGCAATAGACAACCTTTTGCTGCTCCTGCTGCTGCTTCTTCTGCTGCAGCTGCTTCTTCTTCTGCTGCTGCTGCTGCTTCTACTATTGCTGCTGTTGCTGCTGCTGCTGTTGCTGTTGCTGCTGCTGTTGCTTCTGCTGTTACTACTAGTACAACCCCTAATACAACAACAGTTACTATTACTACTGCTGCTGCTGCTGTTGCTGCTGCTGCTACTACTACTACTGTTGCTACTGCTGCTACAGCTACTGCCGCTCCTGCAGCTACTGCTGCTGCTGCTGCTACTGCTGCTGCTACTGCTGCTGCTGCTGCTGCTGCAATAAGGAGCATAAGTTAATAATTCTGTGCAAACACCAAAAAGTTTTTCCTCTCTCTGTCTCCCGCCATATCCCAGCAGCAAACAAGTTGCTGCTGCTGCTGCAGCAGCAGCAGCAGCTTGTTTGCTGCTGCTGCTGCTGTAGATGTTGCTGCAGCAGCAGCTGCTGTTGCTGCTGCTGAGAAGGAAACAGCCAAACTTCCTGCTGCTGCGGCAGCAGGAGATCATTTAGTTAAGAAGAGACAGGAAGGCAGCAAGCAGCAGACTATCAATAGAAACAGCAGCAGCAACTGCAGCAGCAACTATTGCTTCTGCTGCTGCTGCTGCTGCTGCTGTTGCTCTTGCTGCTGCTGCTGCTGCTGCTGTACAGTGGAGAAAGTTACGAATGCCAATCTCTATCAACAACATCAGCAGCAAAACAAACCCTAAAAATACAACAAAGCAAAAGGGTAGCCAACTGCTGCTGCTGCTGCTGCTGCTGTTGCTGCTGTTGCTGCAGCAGCAGCAGCAGCAGTTGTTGCTGCTGCTGCTGAGCTGTCCGTATTGATAGTTTAGGCCTTTCCTCTTCCTGCATACACCGCATGCATGCATTCATGCTGCTGCTGCTGCTGCTGCTGCTGCTGGCTACTCTCTCTCTTATAAGAATCATCCAACGCGCTGCAGCAGCAGCTGCCGCCGCCGCAGCAGCAGCAGCAGCAGCATCTGTTGCAACAGGTGCTGCTGCTGCAGCAGCAGCAGCAGCAGCAGGTAGACAGACAGGGGCTTATATAATAATGTGCCTCTACCCCTGTCTCTTTTTTGTCTCCTTTTGTCTCCTTTTTCATTTAATTATTTAATTAATTAATTAATTTATTTATTTATTTATTTATTTATTTATTTATTTATTTATTTATTATTTATACAACATATATGCCACCATTGCCATTGCTGCTGTTGCTGCCATTGCTGCTAAATTCTGCTGCCATTGCTGCTAAATTCTGCTGCTGCTGCTGCTGTTGCTGCTGTTGCTGCTGTTGCTGCTGTTGCTGCACCAAGAGCAGCAGCAGCAGCAACAGCTCTAGCTGTATATCCTTACGGTATATAATAAATAATGTAAATATTCAGCAGCAGCAGCAGCAGCAGCAGCAGCAGCAAATACCTCTACATACAATACACAGCTATAATAATCCTTCTGCTGCTGCTGTTGCTGCTGCTCTTCTGCTGCTGCTGCTGCTGCTGTATAATCATGATTTCTTCTTCTCCTGCTGCACCAAAGACACCGTTCTTCTTCTTCTTGCTGCTGCTGCTGCTGCAGCAGCAACAGCAGCAGCAGCAGCACAATTATCCCAGTGTATTCTCTGCTGAGTATCCATAATCAGCAACACGTTAGATGCATATATATATTCATCATATATCATCTTCCTGCTACAGCACGACGTTAGTTCTTGCTGCTGCTGCTGCAGCAACAGCAGCAACAACAACAACAACAACAACAACAACAACAACAACAACAACAACAGCAGGAGAATAACCCAAGTGTATTATCTGCACTATATTCAATATAAAGGAATAGATCCATTAGCAACATGTTATTTATATATATACATATACATATATAATTTATATTTTTGGTGCTGCAGCAAAGAAGCGATTGTTGTTGTTGCTGCTGCTGCTGCTGTTGCTGTTGCTGCTGTTATAATTATCCAAGTGTATTCTCAGCAGAATATTCAACATATAAGAATCCATCATCAGCAACATGTTGCTCATATATTTCTTGTATAAGTGCACCTGCCTTAGGTGCTGTATTCTCAACAAATAAATAAATTGTTTTCTCATGGGTAAGAGGATTTCCTTGATTTGTTGCACATTGATTTATATGTTTATGTATAATATATTTAAATTCACCTACTAACATATTCATAGGAACTAAGAATCTGCATAAACAAAAAAAAGAATTATTTATTTATTTATTTATTTATTTATTTATTTATTTATTTATTTATTTATTATTATTATACTCAATAATACCATCATATTGATGGGTTATAAGGGTGGGGTTGCTCTTCTTCTTTGTGTTGTTATTTATACTCGTGAGGGTAATAAGGCTGGGGGATAAGGGAAAAGTGATAAACAGCAGCAGCAACAGCAGCAGCAACAGCAGCAGCAGCAGCAAACAACCAACCAACCAACCAAACAAACAAACAAACAAACAAACAAGCAAGGAGCAGCAGCAAGAGCAGCAACAGCAATAGCAGCAGGAATAATAATAAATAATAATATACTTTTTTTTTTCTATGACGGGTAGATCAGATCTTGGTGCCTTCTCACAAATAACGGGAATTCGATTTGGATATTTGGCTCGAATTCTATGGGCCTCAGCAGTCCTTTTTTCTATACAAATCGTATAGAAACCCTAAACCCTAAACCCTAAACCCTAAACCCTAAACCCTTTTTTTCTTTACGAATATATTCTATTATACAATATTATATAAATTAATACATACATAACATAAAAAGGAACAAAATAAATGGTTATATCCATACGGAAGGAGATAGGAGGAACGAGAGAGAGAGAGAGAGAGAGAGAGAGAGAGGGAGGAGAGGAAGGTATGTCGTTATTATTAAGGGATATATAAACCCTAAACCCTAATATAAACCCTAAACCCTAGAGAGAGAGGAGAGAGAGAGAGAGAGAGGAGGGAGAGAGAGAGACAGGGACACATATAAACCCTAAACCCTAATAAACCCTAAACCCTAGTAAACCCTAAACCCTAGTAAACCCTAAACCCTAACTCACCAAAAGAAATCTCATCCCTTAACGACGGCATCTTGGCATGGCAGCAGATGCTGCTGCTGCTGCTGTTGTTGCTGCTGTTCCTCTTCTTGCTGGTGTCCTTATCCTGCTGCTGCTCTTCTTGCTGTTGCAGCTGCTGCTGCTGCTGCTGCTGCTGCTGCAGGCAGCAGAGTGTTAGAGGAGATAAGACTGACACGTGCTGCAGTCTTGACCTCTAATCTATACACGAGACAATTGTGTCCCTCTTGTTGCTGCTGCTGCTGCTGCTGCTGCAGCTGCAACTGCTGCTGCAGCTTCTTGTGCTGCTGCTGTTCTTGTTGCTGCTGCTACAACTGTTGCTGTTGTTGTTGTTGTTATTGTTGCTCCTGCTGCTATAGCTACTCTTGCTGCTGTTCTTGTTGTTGCTGCTGCTGCTGTTGCTGCTGCTGCTGCTGCTGAGGCGGCCGCTGCTCCTATATAAAGGAAGGTAGCAGATAGTTCAGGTGTATAGGCACCTCTGCATGCAATAATATAAATATAACAAGTTGTATAAAAGCAGAAAAAAAAAGGGTTTTGCTTCTGCTGCAGCAATTGCAGCAGCAGCAACAATACAAGCAGCAGCAGCAACAGCAGTTGCAGCAGCAGCAGCAGCAGCAGCAGCAGCAGCAGCAAAGGGGCAGATAAAGAGATAACAAGGCAAAGACAACCTAAGCCAATCTTCTTTTATTATATTCCTCTCAATTGCAAAGTTCTATCTGTGGGCAGCAGCTGCTGCTGCTGCTGCTGCTGCAGCAGCAGCAGCAGCATCCAGCGGCAGCAGCAGCAGCAGCAACAACAGCAGCAACCCGCTCGACGAGCCAACAACACTGCAGCAGCAACAGCAGCAGCAGCAGCAACAGCAGCAACAGCAGCAAATCTTCAATGCATTTTTATTACTTATAAGTCATCACACACAAGCCAATTACTTTTTTGCTGCTGTTGCTGCTTTCCTTCCTATGTTTCCTGCTGCTGCTGCTGCTGCTGCTGTTGCTGTTGCTGTTGCTGTTGCTGCTGCTGCTGCTTTTGTATGCTGCAGCAGCGGCCCCACGACAGCAGCAAGAAGGAGAAGAAAAAATAAATAAATAAATAAAACACATACATCTTATCTTTGCTGCTGTTATTTTGCTGCTGCTGCTGTTGCTGTTGCTGCTGTTGTTGTTGCTGCTGCTCTACGGTGTAGCTGTTCTATGGTTGACCTGCTGCTGCTGCTGCTGTTGACTTGCTGCTGTTGCTGTCATACTACTAATGTTGCTGTTCTGCTGCAGCAGCAGCAGCAGCAGAACACTGCAGCAGCAGCTGCGGCTGTGAGGTGTACACATACCACAGAGACGAGCAGCAAGTCCTCCCTCCTTGCTGCTGTCTTGCTGCTCTTCTCGTTCCCATGCTACTGTTGCTGCAGCAGCAACAACAATGACAGCAGCACCTGCTGCAACAAGAGCAGAAGAAGCAGCAACAACAGCCGTAGCAGCAGCTGCTGCAGCAGGAACAGCAGCAACAGCAGCAGCAGCAGCTCGGTGGGATAGACAGTCTCCCCCTCCTGCTGCTGCAGTGGGCTACTTAAGATTGCAGTAGCAGCATACGGAGCAGCAGCAGCACACGTAACAGCAGCAGCACACGTAGCAGCGGCAGCACACGTAGCAGCAGCAGCAGCAGCACGTAGCAGCAGCAGCAGCACACCACTACTAGTAGTTTTAACCCCGGCAAACAGCAGCAGCAGCAATAAGAGAACAGCAGCAGCAGCAATAACGGAACACTAGCAGCAATTGCACAGCAGCAGCAGCTGCTGCTGCAGCAGCTGCTGCAGCAGCAGCAGCAGCAGATTTAACTGTTAGCTGCTGTTTGCTGCAGCAGCAAATTAACTAATGAATGTGTTAGCAGCAGCCTCTATAGGACAAAAAGCACACAGAGCTTGCTGCTGCTGCTGTTGCTGCTGCTGCTGCTGCTGTTGCTGCTGCTGGTGTTGCTGCTGCTGGTGTTGCTGCTGCTGGTGTTGCTGCTGAAAGCATAACCGATAAATAATAACTAACTAACTAACTAACTAACTAACTAACTAACTAACTAACTAAATAAATAAATAAATAAATAAATA